GGGCAGACAGTTTCTATGCGACTTCGGTTGTCAGCGCTCTGAACCTAGACTTTGACCGAGAAAAGTGGGTGACCGAAGAAAGTGTTGCAGAGCCGCTGCAGCGTGGCCCAGCACAACTAGACTAATGCCGTTTGGACGCGCTGACTTTTAGCTGCAAATTCATTCTTGAAGTGCCTAGATCACCAAATCCGCTGAAAACTTGTATGTAGGAGGTAATCTAACATCCTGGTTGCGAATATGACATTCATTGTTGGCGCTGGCGCTAATGGAATACACTACGATTACCTTCGGCTCAGGCTTAGCAGAGCGCAGATAACCGTAGTGTTCACCATTAGCACCAGCACCAAGAATGAATGTCATATTCGTAATCAGGATGTTAGATTACCTCTATATACAAGTTTTCAGCGGATTTGGTGATCTAGGCACTTCAAAAATGAGCTCGCAGCCAAAAGTCAGCGCGTCCAAACGGCATTAGCCGCACAACTACGTGCGAATCAAAAGGCGAACATTGGCGATGTCGAAGCTACGATGGAGACCAAAGAACCAAAGATCGCACATTTTCCTCAATGGTGTTTCTGGTTAAAAGTGCTTCAATCAATTCATTGAGACGTTCCTTCCTTTCTCGAACTGTTCTCTGGACAGGTGGTCGCGCTGGCATCCAAGGCCACACAAGCGGCGGTTCGTCTTCACCGAACCTGAAGGAAGGAACAGCCTGAAAAGAGAAACACTAGAAAATACCGATGCGACAGACCCGGAAGGAATAACAAATAAATCAACACTAAGCTTTTTTGTAGATGCAAACAAGTAAAAGATAGTACAGACCTGGAACAACCGCATATATCCTCTAAAATGTTGCCTGGACGCAATGTATTTATTAGGTTGATTGGTAGGTAATGGCGCTTTTTTAATCTTAGTTTTGTGTGAATGATGAAATTTTTTGACATTGTACTTTTCATGGTAACAGGCTCTTGTCAACTGGACATGCTCTCGCTGCGAGGGTCCAGAGGTATTCGCTCATCGTGTCTACTGACTCAGCAGTTGAAGGGAGATAGAAAAAGGAAGAGAAAATGAAGTGAGGAGAATAAGGAAGGAGGAAGGAAAAAAATAAGAATGGGGGAGAGGGGGGGGGCTCGTGATTGTCACGGCCTTCTTCCTCTTCTTTCTAACAACGGAAGCTGATCAAGCTATTTATTCGCGTAGTATTGGGTAAATCGTGTAAGCGGCGGTTGGCAGAGCTCGGTCCGGTTCACTACTCCGGGCGCTCCTGGGTCAGCCGACTGGCGTCCGGCTAGCCCTTACAAAAGTGCAGCCCCTCCCACTGTCCAGCGAGCGCTCTGCCTTGAATACGGTAAGGAGCGTTGCGGTTGCAGGTGCATACCGCAACACTCCCGGGGCATACAATAAAGCGATGAAGCGATTGAAGTTTAAATGTTGAGATAACTCAAGAATGTTAAGTGGTGAGATACGCAAAATAATGCTCACTTTTGCCATTTTGATTTTGTGGTTTTTACCGAGTAAGTCGTGGATAATTAGGCCGCCTGGTCCTTCTCGGCTCCCCTTATGCGCTGACGATATCTTGAGCGGTATTAATGAGCCGGTGTGCTGGCCGAAAAGCAAGTAATACATGACATACCATATAATAGGGATCATCACCGAGATTTTTGGACTGTGCGCCCTCTGTTTACGGCTTGCTCGGTCTTATGATTGACCCCGTAAGGTGTGAGCTGTAATTTTGCGCTTACACGGTAAGTGTGAAGGAAATATGGGGTACAGTGGTATGGGGCGGGTAAACAAAGAAAGCGGGCTGTATAAAGAGAGCAAAAAGGGTAGAAAAAAAACTGTGGCAGAAATGTACAGTCGCGATCCCTCAGACGAAGTAGGCGGAATTGCGGACCTTGCAGCGACGCGACGGGCGGCTGTAATAGGGGTGGCGGCGGTTGCTGCACGGGGCAGCAATCACGGCGGTCCATCGTTCTCTGCGCTCCTCTCCGCGAAGCCGCGCCTCTCTGCGCGCTCTTCTTCTCTGGGCTCTGCCCGCAATAGCCGGCTGCACCGCGCAATCAGCTGATCGCGGCCATTTATTTTTCTATTCAGCTGTTATTCTGCTTCCTGAACGCCAGAAAAGTGAGGTAAGTTCATATTATTCAATCTAATTTTAGGTATTATTGAATATTTAGCTTTTAGTCGTTATTTCACTGTTGCAACGGTGTTTTTGCCCACTTTTTGATTTTGTTTAGGTTTTCTCTTGTTTGTCCTTTGAATGTTGGACCTGCTCTCCATGGCAGTGTCGTGATGTGTCCTTATTAGTGCCAAGGACACTCTCTGACACTGTTTTGGTAGATGCGGTCTTTCTGAAATGCCACTTTCCCTATTTTTTTTGCCGCTGTGGCCGTAATTTCTGTCGCCCTGTGAGTTTGCTCTTTCGTTTTTTTTATTCGACTCTATTCTTCATTACAGAGTCTTTGTTGTGTTCTTTTGCATGATGAGAACGTTACGTAGCAATTCTTTTTTCAGAGAGTGCATCCTTAGTTAGCGCTTGCCTCTCTCGCTGTCTTGCTAGACGCCTACTCTGCGCCACTGTGCCTTGTTGTCCCTCTACGTCGCTTACAATAGCTTCTTGTTTCTGTTGCAGCGTGTATTTTACTAACACTTTTATTCAAATGACTTCTTTGTGCTTTATGGTGTTTCTTGTCAAGTTACTGCCGACCCAGTTCATAGAGTTGTCACTAACAAGCTTACCTTTTTCGGCTTTTTTACAAAGATACCATAGAAACTTTTCATTTTCTCTTCATATGCCGGCTATCAATAAAACTAATTAAGACTATATGGCGCCGTTAGAGTGCTGTACATCCCAGTCACAATATATGACTGCCAAGTATCAAAATATTTTGCTATTTCGATCGAAAGTGGATGTCGCGGAAAAGAGGCTGAAAGTTCCACCTTTCAGCCTCTTTTTCGCGACATCCAAAATGAGCGGAGTGCGCAACTTCGTAAGTACGGGTCGTAAGTAAGTACTATCTCGGGTTACTCATTAATCTTTACTTCGCTGTTTGCGTCATTTGAATAAAAGTTTTAGTAAAATACACGCTGCAACAGAAACAAGAAGCTATAAGCGACGTAGAGGGACAACAAGGCACAGTGGCGCAGAGTAGGCGTCTAGCAAGACAGCGAGAGAGGCAAGCGCTAACTAAGGATGCACTCTCTGAAAAAAGAATTGCTACGTAACGTTCTCATCATGCAAAAGAACACAACAAAGACAAGAATGAGTCAAATGAAAAAAGAAAGATGAAAAATAAGCAAAGAAACTCACTGCAACGGAAAGAGTAGCGGCGCATGGGGCGAGACCTGTGAAACAACGATTCTAAAAGCGACATCAATCCTCAAAACAGAGTCAAAGTGTGTTCCTATCATATAAGAGAACACAACAAAGACTCTGTAATGAAGAATGAGTCAAATAAAAAAAGAAAGAATGAAAAATAAGCAAGAAACTCACGGAACGGGAAAAAGAACGGCGGATGGGGCGAGACCTGTGAAACAACGATTCTAAAAGCGACATCAATCCTCAAAACAGAGTCAAAGTGTGTTCCTATCATATAAGAGAACACAACAAAGACTCTGTAATGAAGAATGAGTCAAATAAAAAAAAAAACGAAAGAGCAAACTCACAGGGCGACAGAAATTACGGCCACAGCGGCAAAAAAATAGGGAAAGTGGCATTTCAGAAAGACCGCATCTACCAAAACAGTGTCAGAGAGTGTCCTTGGCACTAATAAGGACACATCACGACACCGCCATGGAGAGCAGGTCCAATATTCAAAGGACAAACAAGAGAAAACCTAAACAAAATCAAAAAGTGGGCAAAAACACCGTTGCAACAGTGAAATAACGACTAAAAGCTAAATATTCAATAATACCTAAATTAGATTGAATAATATGAACTTACCTCACTTTTCTGGCGTTCAGGAAGCAGAATAACAGCTAAATAGAAAAATAAATGGCGCGATCAGCTGATTGCGCGGTGCAGCCGGCTATTGCGGGCAGAGCCCAGAGAAGAAGAGCGCGCAGAGAGGCGCGGCTTCGCGGAGAGGAGCGCAGAGAACGATGGACCGCCGTGATTGCTGCCCCGTGCAGCAACCGCCGCCACCCCTATTACAGCCGCCCGTCGCGTCGCTGCAAGGTCCGCAATTCCGCCTACTTCGTCTGAGGGATCGCGACTGTACGTGAGGGCAACAACAAGACATAGGTTTCGTAATAAAATGAAAGTGAAATTAAAACTAGGTTACGGTAACTGAAAAAAACACATGTCCATCATTAGTCACTGGAATGGATTGCTTGCAAATGCAGTCGGTCATGACAAAGTCAGATCAGATCGGCATGAGAGTTCTGCTTTTCTGTAATGCTGCAGTGGGATGAACGCATCAGTGCTCGAGCTTTGGACGTTTATGAGATGGTCCTTGCTTTGTTCGTTCCGCGCAGAGAATAACATGGTGAGTGCCTCCACAGGAACGACACTTGTTCGAACACTGCCCGTGTGCGGGGGCCAAGCAGGAAATGCACTTGTTGAGGTCTCGTAGACGGAATGATCTGGAGATAGTGTCGGGGAATACCGAACAGATTGAGGATCTATGGCCATCCTCATTGTCAGCTTCGCAGAAAATACACTGATGGCGAGGAGCAGTGTTGGTAATTAGGGTATCGATCTTACTTTCGAGGCGAAACACTGTTCTTGATTTCTTGAATATCGAACTTGAGCAAATTCAAGGTAAGACGAGTGGAGACCTCAAAGGTATCGGGGTGGTTGGCTGCCGCCAGGCCTGGCGTGTCTGCAGGTGCGTCTTCTTTGTTGGTTGGATCGGGCACCGCAGCTGGCAGCTTCGGCATGATTGCGAGGAGAGTTGTCGTCGACTAACATTTAGGAACGAACGATGAGGAGTGAGATTGCTGTGCTTCTGATTTTTTTGACATGCGCTGGCGGAGAGCCAAGAGCGAGGGTGTGACTGTTAGTCATTACGGTACCGCCGCAGAAGAGAGAATAGGCTTCTGAGACATGCGAAGAGTGTCTCAGCCATCGCGAGGAGAATTGTGACGAGTAAATGAACAATAGTGATTATGACTGTTGGTCCGAGGAAATATGTGAGCAGTCCGATTACTGTGAAGCTACAGATAACTGCGACGGTTGTTTTCCAGTGTTTGGTAATTGTGGCCGCAAGGGGACCTATGTCTGGCAACGAAATGTTGCTCCACCAGGCTGTGTTGCTTGCGGTTGTTTGTTTACCTTCGCCGAATATTTCGTGGTCTAGCGTGGGCGTATGGTATAAAAGTGTGCCTATCAAAGTGATCTCGGAGAGTTTCCCTGCGCTCTGATATGAGCACACATCTTTTACATTTGCATGATCGTATTGTAGCATTATGACATTGGCTAAAGTGTATTTTGAACACTTGATTAGGAAAGTTTGATCTGTACACTCAAGGGTTATTTCGGTGGTTTTCTCTGAATAACAGTGTACTGTAGATTTTGCGGCTTCAAGACAACTGTAGCAGCCGGTTACAGCTGTTGCGTGTAAAGTACAGGGTCTATTACGACCTGTGCCATTTGAATTTGCTTTTTTGATGTGATGAGTAATGATATCTCGGCGTCGTGTGTATCAATTATTACTGGTGAGACGCTATAAGTGGTAGAGTGGTGATAGAGTTTTGCGAGTCCTTCAAGCTGTATTGTGGACAAATGCACTGTACTCTACTCCTTGTATGACTGCAGGTGCAGATTACCTCGTTGGAGCACCTGCTGAAATCCTCGCTGGCAGTGCTCTCATCTGGGCATTCGACGGCGATTTTAGATGCATCGCCGAGCATTTTGAATCCCGCTGCGGATTCTGCGTAACGTTTGTTGAGAGCGCTGTCTTGCATGTTTTGTAGGGACGTTATTTTGATGTCCCAACCGCCCACCTTCTTTGAGACATAAGGATGTAGTTGCAAAGACTCGTTTGCTGCGATTTCCTTATGAGTTGTTTCTAGTGTGAGGTGGAATTTCGGGGTTCCAGGAGCTACACTTGAATATGTGATACACCTCGTCATTCTGTGGTACTTGTGCAACTCGATAGAATAGGCATCCCGGGTAGGCGTCTGCCGGGAAGGGTGTTAGACAGCCACAGGTTAATCCGGTACATGTTGAGGTGCACATGGAGTAGCCTGGGAATTTTTCTGGCCTCATGTAATTCTGGGATGCTGTCGTTTGGCTGCAGAAGTTCTACATTTATCTTCAATGCATGATCCCATAAATGGGCACCGCCTCTTCGTAATACACCTTCGCAGCTGTGTTTCGAGTGAAAACGTTTCTTTGTTGCAGATTCGACGCGTCCGTTGGAGAGTGAGTTTGAGATTGCCCACTGTGTTATTGTGATACCGAAGCATGATGCAGACTTTCTGATGAAGTTTATTGAAGAACAGCTCTTGTTCATACTCGACGGTACATTTGTTCGAGTCGTCACATATGAGCTCGGCGTTATAATGAGCGTGAAAGTGTTGGCAAGAATTGATTTGCGCGGTGCAGATAGTCAGCAGTACTAGTGCTCCTGTGACAAAGGTTGACGGTTTCAGATGTCCTAGGGTGAATGGTGTTCCTTTGTCTTCCTGCGTTCTTCAGGGTGGGCTGATGGTGGCTTATTGACTGTCTTAGTTGCGACCATTTGTTCCTGATCAGTATGCCAAGGAGAAGCGCCAGTAATACTATAACTGCGGCAAGAGATATAGCGGTTAGGATGGCACCTTCAGGCCAACAGTGGGGGTTCCCCAATAGAGATGTCGTAAAAAGGGTTTTGTCGGCACAAAAGGCCTGTCGATCGCACATTCTGCTATGACTGAAGTCAGCTCCTGTTCTGCGACTTAGCAGTGTAACCTTCACTTTCTCTTCGTGTGCGGATGGTGGAAGTGCAAAGGTAGATGTTTGGTTCGTTGTTCTGTTCCGACATGCCTTGTTGAAGCACAGAGTATAGAACTGTGACGGTGGAGTGACTATGACCGTACCGTTTTGGCAGGAAATGTGTGTGGCGAACACAGCCGGGATTAATGCCAGTAGTATGAAAGGATAGAGAACTAACTTCGAAAAGAAGTTACCGTTAGTGGTAGGGTGTTGTGAGTACGAAGACTCTTCAGACTCGTTTTGCAGTATCATAGTAGGTGATGTTTTGCTTTGCCTTTCTTGGAAAGGGTGTTCGCTGTTCTATGGGAGATTTGTTGGCGTTCCTGTGTGGAGCTTTGACGGTCTTTGAGCCATCCATTGAGCTACGGATTTTGAGTGGTATGAGCTTTGTGGGCTGGTCGGTGGCAGATGTTGCCCGAGGGTGTTAGTACCTTCGCTGAGCGAACTAACCCATCAGCCGCTTATTACCAGGTCTGTTACGCGGCCGAGCGGCCAATTGCTGCGGGGTACTAGCCCGTCTTGTTGTATAAGCACTATTTCTCCCACTTCAGGGAGCGCACGCGAGATATGTCTGCGTTGCTTCATAAGCGTTTTGTGAACATCTCTTAGTTCTGTCAAATACTCTTTTTGCCATCTTTTCCAGAAGTGATTCGCCATTTCTTGAGCAAATTCTATTGCTTCCCTAGCTTGCTGCATCGTGGCGATTGAATTCTCTTCGTAATTGGGGTCGCTTTGTTCATCTATGTCTTTGCTCTCAGGGAGCGAAAACTCGACATTCCCCTATAGAAACTCTACGGGTCGCAATGGGATAGATGTCAGGTCTTCAGGGTCCACCTTTGTCAGTGGACGTGTGTTGACAACTGCTTCAATGCAGGCTAGGACTGTTGTGAATTTCGGTGTACGATAGTCTTTTGCGCCCTATAGTCTTCGAGAGGCATTTTTTGACGGTTCCTACGATGCGTTCCCATACACCTCCCATCCATGGTGCTGCGGGTGGGTTGAATATCCATTTTATGTTTCTTGTAGCCGAATATGCCATAACTGATCTCCCCTCTTGATCTTTTTGAAAGAGAAGATCTAATACCTTAGCACCAAGAACGAAGTTGCTCCCACAATCTGATCGCATTAGCATGGGTACACCTCTTCGACTGATGAAGCGTAAAAAACTGTCTAGAAATGCCGAAGCGGAAAGGTTATCGACCGGTTCTAGATGGACTGCTCTTGTCGATAAACATGTGTACAGAGCGATGTATGCTTTCTCATCGTTATCTGTGTTGAAAGGTCCTATGTAGTCGCAGCCGACATGCTCAAATGGCTTGGATTTAACGACGGTCTTTCGGTAGCGGAGGTGTCGCTGGGTAGGGGAAATGGTAACCCCTGCTCTTTTTTACATACCGTGCACTCGCTGAGGATTTTGCGAATTTTCGATGACGGCTTAGGTACCCAAAATCGCATTCTTAGAAGCGATAACGTGTGCTGTCGGCCACAATGCATGTTTGTTTCGTGCAATTCTCTTACAATAAGACGCACCAGCTCTGAGTCACTTGGAATGAAGATGGGTTCCCTTGTGTCGCGCGGTAATGCTGAGTTAACAAGCCGCGATTTGGCTCTGATTAGCCGATTTTCATCGTAGAATAGGTTCTTTGCCTGTGTACTTCGAGCGGAGTTCTTTTATGTCGCTGTTTCGTGTTCGTTCATGTATAAGCATGTGTTCCGCTGTCTTCACTTCCGCGGCCGTAAGTTCATTGTGTGTTGAGAACTGTCGCAGCAGGCATGGTGCGATGTTTCTGTTGTTTTGCTTATTGACCCTCGCGATCCACCGTGCAGCGCCTTCATTGCGCCTGCCAATGTGCTTAACGCTCGCGAGTAGTATCGGAAGCGTGATAGATCGATTAGATTATTGGCTGCTTGTTTCGATGTTTGTATGGCAGGTGCGCACAGCGGCGCGCTGCTAGTTTCTTCTTGGTCTTTGTCTTGTGAGGTCGGGGTCTGTTCCCATGATGAGTCTATTGGCCAGTGGGCTTGTTGGAGCTTGAACCATTGAGGTCCTGTAATCCAGTCACTGGCCTCGAATGGTTGTCTGGCAACTGGTCGGGTGGCAATATCAGCAGGGTTCTTTTCAGATTCGATATAACTGAGTGTTAGTGAGGTTCCGTATTCTTGAATGAGATGACGTAGCTTTTTAATTCTGTCGACCTGGTTAGCTACGAAAAGAGGAAGCTTTCTAGACGTCTGTGTCCAGGCTAGAGCTATTTTGCTATCGCTCACTATGTGAACGTTGCGTATGCGGCTTTGGTAGGACTGGAGTATGGTTCGTGCCAGTCGAAGTGATATTAGAATGGCAAGAAGTTCTAATCTGGGGATAGAGAGTTGTCTTTCCACAGGAGCCAGCCTTGTTTTCGCGCACAGTAACCCCCTCGTTTGATTGTCGGGAGGATGAGTCACATAACTGCAGCACGATATCGCTAGCTGACTTGCATCACCGAATATCCAAAGGGTTGAGCCTTCTTCTCCGGTGGCTACTGGACCGATATTGCGCGAGACCTTGATGAAAACGCCAGATATTTCGGTACAGATTTCGTTCCATCTGTTGATGTGTTCTTTGTTGAGTGATTTTCCCCAGGCTGTTTTGAGCATAACTACTTCTCTCATAAGCAGTTTTGCCTTCAGTGTTAAGGGTAGTGCTAGGCCAAGAGGATCGTATAATTTATGGACTGCACTAACGAGTTCTCTTTTGGTCATGTGTTGTTTTGGTGACAATGTCACTTTGAGGAGAAGTTCGTCATCCTCGGTATTATAGGGTACTCCGAGTAGTTTTGTGCTTCCCGATTTGCCTTTGCTGTAATCAGGAATAGATGCATTAACGTACTCGGAGTTGCTAATGAAGTCTCTGAGATTCATTCCGATGTGACTGAATAGCTCTTTGGAGCTTGCGATCTTTTCGATAGCCTCTTCGTCTGTATTAGCTGCTAGGAAGACGTTATCGACGTAAATATTATCCAAAATTTCTTTGGATAGCGGCTTGTCGGATGTGGCAAGGTATGTTGCTATTGCCATGTTCAAGATGCTAGGTGAGGATTTTGTGCCGAAAGGGAGTCGCTTGAATCTATAATGCACTGTATTGGTCGGGGAAGGCGTCCGATCCGGGTCTCTTAGCCATAAGAACCGCAGCAGGTCGCGGTGTTCTGGCGCTATTCGGATTTGGGTAAATGCTGCTTGTATGTCCGCAGTAACGAGAATTTTGCACCATCGGCTGTATGTAAGAATGTTCTGGATTTTGTTTACGAAACTTCCACCGGTGTACATGACATCGTTAAGGGAAAGTTTGCCGACACCTTTCGACGAAGCATCGAATACAATTCTTAGTGGAGTAGTTTTCTCACTTTTCCATACTCCTGCATGAGGCATGTAGTACACCGTTTTGTCGGGACAATGTCGTTCTGATGTGGGCACTTCTTCGATGATGTCGTTTTGTTTATAGTCTTCTAGTATTTTTATGTACCAGTCTTTTTGGTCTTCGTGTTGGTTATGAAATTTGTGAAGAGAGCTCAGTCTTGAAAGGGCTACGTTGTAGTTGCTCTCTAGGTCTACTATGTTGTCCTTGAGGGGGAACGGGGCAGTTATCACGCCGTTCTCAATGCGGATGCGTTTCGAGTAGTTGTTTAAATACTCGTGTGCACTGTCGTCTACGTGATATTCATCACTCACGATGCCCATTCCATCCAATTCATACATTTCTCGTAGTTCCCTTTTCACGTCTGACATTACCTCGGGACAGGCTAGCACCACCTGCTGTGTGTATGCTCTGAGTGTGGGGATGTTCGACTTTCCGAATAGAGCAGGCCCGAAAACGGTGTTCTGAGCTAGGAGGCCCGAGGGTAATTTGGTGGGAGGAGAGTCTAAGAGCACGATTTGCTCGTAAGATTCAACTCCAATTAGCACGGCCGGTGTGACTAACTGTCCGTTCGTGGCTGTATTCGATAGAAAGATGTGGTTGTTTCTGAGAAACTGTACGTCTGATGCCGTAAGCGTGGCGGCAGGGAAGGAGTTAGTCAACACAGGTTTAGTACTCAGACTAATTGAAAGACATTCACCAAATCGCGTTCTGAAAACGGCATTTACTTGTTGCGCCGTATATGTTTGAACGCTTCCTCCTATTCCGTGCATAGTGCACTGGTATGGTTCACTCCCAGGAAGTGCCAGTGCTTGTGCTAGGGCAGCATCAATTAAATTGCATTGAGCTCCCGAGTCCAAGAAGATAA